GTGGTTGACCAGTTTTCCCAGCACCACTTGTTAAAGAGGTTGTCTTTTTTCCATTGTATATCCTTGCCTCCTTTGTCGAAGATAAGGTGACCATAGGTTCGTGGATTTATCTCTGGGCTTAGAAAGCCAATTTTAAAACATCGCAGCTGGCTCATCTAACTTAACCCCCTCCGTGTTAAGGGCCTTGGTGAGGTTTCCACGTAGAACTATTTTTTTTTTAATCGTTTCTCTATTGTTCCAGATTCAATATATCTAAATTGTGGCTCCATCATGAAGAGGGAAAGAACTAAGTGATGGAGAGGGTGCATGTCTGCAGGACAGAATCTAGGGGGAAACAGAAAGATGGAGACTTGTTCCCTCCAATGTTCAGCTGCTTTGAGTACTGAGGCTCAGTTCCCAGCATGTAGGAAATGAGTGTGTTGTGTTGTTTCTGTGTGTCAGTTTTACATGGCTTTTGTCCCTGTCTCCATGGGTTATCTGCCTGAAAAAAAAGCTGCTGTTTCCGCAAAACCCTGTGGTTGTAGCTCACATCTATCTAATCGGGTCTGTATTCAGTGTTTCGGGATCTCCCTGCCCTGTTGGTTCAGAGACTATAAGCTGGCTTAAGCTGTGACAGTGGGGAGAGTATCACAGTATAAAGTAATGAAGGTGAGTGAACTTTCAGAGGAGCTCAGATGTCACCAATTTGCTTAGTTTACCTGTTTTGACTGATTTTAGAAGATGACAGGTACTAATGGGAATTCAACTTAGGGAAGTAAAGTAGCACCGTTAATCTCTGAATCTGAGTGTGCTAATGGGGCTTTGCATGGAGCAGGCTGCCCTAGGTTCTCCCAGGATAGACACTGGGACGACAACTTGGCCCAGGAGCTAGTCAGGCAAGGGACACAAAGGAGAGTCTACCTCTGAGCAGCAGTCTCAGAGACCAGCAGCAACCAGTCGGTCAGCTTGTGTGTACACTGGGAAGCTACAGATGGAGGACCCAGGTCCTGCTCTTGGGGCTTCCCAGCCTCCTGAGGAGGAGTGACGCAGAGGTTTGTATCCTGTTTTTCAGGGCCAGGGTTTGTAAAAGCAAGTTTTTGTGGGTTTTGAGACATTCATAAATCTGACCCCAAGAGCACATAGTGAGACTATGAATCTAATGTGGTTTCTGGTCTCCATGATGGTGCTGAGCTATGAGCCAGTGATATGGGTGTTCTTTAAATTCCAGCTCGGTTCATATTTAACAGACTTGGCTGATTGATGAAAATGTTTTCAGGTTTAGCTCATAAACATATCAAAATCAACCTGAACACACTGGTGTCCATATTGTGGTTTGTAAAGAAAGAGAGCAGCCATGTGAGGCCAAAGCACATTTCAGTTCAATAATAAGGCTTTCTTAGAGTGACTCATAGTCTAGGCACACACAAACAACTGAGAGTGGCCAGCGAGGAGCTCATGACCCAGAAAGGCTTGCGTTTGCCTCCAGACTTGAAGAGCAGTTTGGGAGTAGAAGGGCAGAGAGGAGAGGATTCCAGCTTGAAGTGGGAGAAGCCTGGGCCCAGGCGAGATTGAAATGAATTCCAGTGAATGATGTACAGTCATCGCAGGACAGAGGACAGGAACATGTTTACTGGATGTCTGGAGTGTGCTTCTGTCATCCTGGTTCTCATTTAATCCTGATAATCCTCCAGCGCTAGCCCTACACAGGATTGTTGATGAGAATGCAAATCCCAGCACTGCAGTTGAGGATTTTGCTTGTGCTGAAATTGTTTTGTAAATTTTTTTAATGGGTTAGTTGGGTGGCAGTTATCCCTTACTCCAGTGTTTTAAGTTAATAGCATTTCTTTGTCCCCAAATGGGTATTGAAGCTTTGCAGGTTGCAGTCTATGAAGGAATGAGGTGTGGTTTCATTTTTGTAAAAGTAATACATTGTAAAAAGGATATGGGCCATATGAAAGATGGTTTATAAAAAGATGAAGAAAGAAAGTCTACAGTTCCACGTCAGTGCTGACCACTGATAACACCGTTTGGCTGTGTGTTCCAGGCGGCATTGTTCTGTGCAGGCATGTGCTTTTTGGCAAAAATAGGTTCATAGTATACATACTGTTGTGAAACTTACTTTTTTTAATGTAGTGTATTGAGTAGCACTGCTCGGTTTTAAAATATGGTATGTACACAGACAAGTACACATATCATAATTACCTATGTAAAAGTACCCAGAAGCCCATTACAACTCCCTTCCAATAGCTCCCACCCCCTCAAGGTTAACCACTATCCTAACTTTTAACAACATAGGTTGCTTTTGCTTGTGCCTGTTATTTATATAAGTGGAATTACACAGTATATACTCTTTTGTCCTTAGCTCAACATTGTATTTGTGAGATTCATCCATGTAGTGTTTGGCTGTGGACTCTTCATTTTCGTTGCAATGTAATATTCCGTTGTGTTAAGAAACAACGGTTTAGCCATTCTACTGTTGATACCACATTCGGGTCATTTCTAGCTTTTGGCTGTTAAAATAATGCTGGCACTGCTTTTTTCCTCCTCAAGAGAAGCTGAAGTTGGAGTCAGTGAGAGGAACACTGACTTAGACCACTTAAGGACTTGGACTGCTGTGAAGGATAACAGTGCCTAGCTATGGTGCCACTCCACAAGTGTGCTTCTGCAAAGAATTTGTAACATGAGAATAAAGTACCAGAAACCCTGGTGTGCTGTAGTTGTAGACATAGGTGTGTATATTAGAGCAGATCCTGGGTTACTCCTCCTCCACGGGCCGAGCCTTTGTTCCCCAAGGACACTGCTCTACCCACCACCCTTCCCAGTGGCAGCACCAGAGTATTCCTTGCCCTACAAACCAATGTTGAGGGTGTGGGCTTGGTGTCCTTCCTCCCTCCCTTCCTGGTAGAACCCCCACTTACTCTGTTGAGGCTTATGTGATCCTCTCACTCTCCTGGTTACCTGATGACTACCATCTTTAAAAAAAATTATTCCTGTCTTTCTCCAAGTGAATTCATCTATGTGGTTTACCCATCTGTGTTGGGAGTCCCCAGGATCATCATACTCAAGGACTGTCATTCTTAGGGCAAAATTAAAGAAAAAGCAAAATTAAAAAGGTGCAACTCAAAATTAAGAAAAAAATATGTGGGCAAAGTCTGGAGCAAACCAGGCTCAGATTTTCAGAGGGTGTCACAAAGGATGTATCAATACTTGATTCCCCAAGCACAAATTGTTCCAACCTGTATGGAATGTTTTTTATCAAGGAAACCCCCCTCAGCAACTGAGGGCCCGGGGTTTTGATTGGGGTCTGGTTATGTAGGCACCTTCTGTGTGGCACATACTAAAGTCCCAGATTCGAAAGCACAAGTAAACAACATTGACTGTGCAAACAGTTTAGGCATCTTGAGCCACTCTGATCCATGCTGGGAATGATGGGAACCCTCCTCAAATCCTAGTTTCCAGGTGTCAGCCAGGACTGAACTTATAAGCTGTCTTTATAAAGGATAGTAGTCAGCCTTGCTGTGTTAAACTCTTGGGGACCCACCCCACACCCTGGTTCCTTCCTGTTCCTTATCCCATAACCTTCTCATTTCCTCCCATCCAAACCTGTAGACACACCTGGACCTTGTCCATCAGCCTCAACTGCGTCATCTCTGAATCATGGATTTAGACACCTCACACTTTGATGTTCCAACTGACTTGCTCAAGAAATAATAAATACACACAGAGTGACCTAACCATTCCTTTGCTCAGTAACTGCTTTCAGCTTGGTTTGTGCAGACCTACAGGTCAGGAATCTTTCTACCTTGGTTGGATTAACTAGCTTCCACCTTTTGCTTTCCTGTTTCCTATTTCCAACTAGCCTAGACTCCTTGAACCGTCATTCTCCTACAAACCTTAAACTCCTGTGCTTTTCTGAACTTGCTGTGTTCTTGCCTAGAGAAACTTCAACCCTGAAAACAGCCACCTGCCCACATGGTCAGTATTCACTGAGAGGGTTGTGTCCTGTGGAAGAGATTCACAGGTGAATGTATTAGTACCACTATAAACCTGACTGCTCTCTCCTGGGCCCTCAACACTGCCAGCAAAACATACTACTACTCTGCAATCACCTCTCTAGTAAGCAAATGGCCCTGTTATACATTTCAAAAAACTGGAAGACACTGGATGGAAACTGCCTCAGGCACTTAAACCATACTCTATGCTAAGCTCTTGTGCACCCAGCCTTATCCTGGTTGTCCTGTAAAAACAAAAGACCACAGATCAAAAAACTGCCTATGTTCTGTTTCCCTAACTCCCACCATCCCCATTCCCAGACTTAACATTATTGAGTTACCTCTCTGCCTGTATTCAACTTCTTCCTTAAAGATTCTTCCCATTCACATTTAATTATTATGCCAGCATATTCTATGGCATATTCATATGTTTATATTCATATGTTTATATATACAGGCATAATGGAAATATTGTGGGTTCAGATCTAGACCCCAGTAAAGCAAAGATTACAATAAAGTGAGACAGACAAAAAGAAAAAGACAAATTTTTTTTTCCTAGTATAAAGTTAGATTTACACTGTACTTTTGTCTATTAAATGTGCAATAATAGCATTGTGCCTAAAAAACAATGTACATTACCTTTATTTTTAAAATAATGCTGTTGGAAAAAATGGCCCTGATAGATTTCCTAGGCACAGGGTTGCCACAGAACCTTCAGTTTGTAAAAAAGGCAGTATCTGCAAAACAATAAAGTATACATATAGTTGTAACTATGTAGCATTTATCATGTCACAAGCTTCTTTGTTAAGAAAATTATCCTTGAATCCTACATCCTACCAGTTCCTACTTAGAGCTCTTAACTCTCTGACACCTCATCTCCCTTTCACTTCTTAGCCCCCCTTGTTCCACTCCCATGCACCACTAAAACAGTTCTTGGTAAGGTCACTAATGATCTCCAGTGAGCCTTTTGAAGTTTTCCTCTCTTACATGCTTTGCAGAACCATTCCATGCAGTCCACCTCTTCCTTCTGAAAATACTCTTGTCTTCCTGGCTGCCATAATCACCTGGTTTTCCTCCCACGCCTCTAGCTGCTGCTCCTCAGTCTGCCTAATTCTGATTCTACAGTCACCCCATTTAAAAATATTAGTGTCCTCAGGGTTCGACTTTAGCTTTTTTTCCTATTCTCCCTGCCACTCCCTGTCCTCCCCTCAACACACACACACATACTACCACAAATTATTCAGTGGAGTTTCCCACATTTGGGGAAATCACAGGGGTAGCACATCAGGAAAAGCCTCACGATGGGAAAACCACNTTTTTTGGGGTGGGGGCCTATCTATGGAGTTATTCTCATATTCACTTATCTAACACAGATCTTTTCTAAGTCTGGATCTGACCCCCCCCCTTTTTTTTTTGGTTGACTGCTCCACTTGTGTAATCTTAGTTCCCCAACCAGGGATTGAACCTAGGGTCACCACAGTAAAAGTGCTGAGTCCTAACCACTGGACCACCAGGGACATCCCTGAATCTCACTTCTTGATTTTGTCATTAAAAGTCTTATAGTAACCTCTTGAATGTAATGTTGCCCAAATTAAAGTGATGGATTTTTTTATTTTTTTCCTTTTTGGCTGGCCACTCAGCTTTTGGGGTAGTAGTTCCCTGAGCCTTCAGCACTGACAGCGCTGAGTCTTGACCACTGGACCACCAGGGAATTCCCATTCCCTCTGCTTTTCTTCCAGTGTTTTTGATCTAGGATGTAGCAACACCATCTATTAGCTCAACTGTGCTGCAAATGTGAAAGTCACCTTTGACACCATTTCCTTCAGTTTTACACCAGCTTCACGCCTGTTAGCAAGTTCTATAAATTCTACTTTCTAAATACATCTAATGTCTCTTACTTTTAAAATGTTTTATGTTGATAAGAGATATGTGTACACATGTGTTTCAATTTAAATGCCTCAGAGGGCTTATAATGAAAACCCTCAGTCATACTGTCATCCCTTCCCATCCCTAGTCTTTTGGTTTTAGTTTTACTGGTTTTCTGTGGAAAACAGAAAGCTATTCAACGAATCTTTACTGAGCCTTTATATGCAAGGGGTATAGTTCATTTGCAGGTTAAGCAACAGTGAACAAAATAAAACCAGCCCTTCTTGGATCTTGTGTTCTGGGAGGAGACAAATAATTAAATGTGTAGTCTGTTAAGATGCTTAAGGGAATTCCCTGGTGGTCTAGTGGTTAGGACTCAGCGCATTTTCACTGCAGGGGCCCAGCTTCAATCCTTGGTCAAAGAATTAGGATCCTGAAAGCCACATGGCATGACCAAAAAGATTCTTATGTTCTGTGGAGAAAAAAACCAAGAAGGGAGGACAAGACAGGGTGTATGGGCTTGAGTGGGGATTGCTGCTTCAATTTAAAATACGTTAGGGAACCTAACATTTGATAAATGACTCAAGAAGCTGACTGGATGTTCAAGCAGAGAAAATTTTAGCTGCAAAGACCCTGAAGCAGGAGTGAACCTATTATGGCTGGAGTAGAGTGAGGGAGTGGCTTCTTCCCTGGTAGCTCAGCTGGTAAAGAATCCTCCTGTAATGCAGGAGATCCCGGTTCGATTCCTGGGTCGGGAAGATCCCCTGGAAAAGGGATAGGTTACCCACTCGCGTATTCATGGGCTTCTCTGGTGGCTCAGACGGTGAAGAATCCGCCTGCAATGCAGGAGGCCTGGGTTTGATCCCTGGGTTGGGAAGATCCCCTGGAGGAGGGCATGGCAACCCACTCCAGTATTCTTGCCTGGAGAATCCCCATGGACAGAGGAGCCTGGCGGGCTACAGTCCGTGGGGACGAAAAGAGTTGGACACGATTGAGTGACTGCGCACATCGCAGCACAGAGTAAGGGAGGAGAGGCTTGTGGGATATGAGGTTAGAGTCAGTGGAGTCTTGACAGGGAAGGAATAGTGGAGTCCGCACTAATCATTGACATTTGTTCCCAGATGGGAAGCAGTTGTAGGGTTTTGAATAGAAAGAAGAGTGACAATCTGACTAACATTTAAAAAGAATTGGGAAATTCCCTGGTGGTCCACTGGTTAGGAGTCAGCACTTTCAGTGCTGGGGCCTGGGTTCCTTGGGGAACTAAGATCCCGCAAGCCACGTGGTGTGGCCAAAAAAGAAAAAGCACTTTTACTACAATGGTCAGTGAATCTCGTCCATGTGTATGTCTTTGGCTTTTAAATAAATAAATTTTAAAAAGTAAAAACATCTGACTGCTGTGTTGAGAATAAATTAGTAGGGAGGCCAGTTAGGAATCCAGCACAGTAACCCAGAGAGATTCCCCTGCCCTCTGACAGTTGGAACATGTGGCCTAGACTTCCAGTGATAGAGATCTGTAATTTGGGGGCCTGTTTGGTCTCCTCAGTGGACTGTTCCTCTGGTGGAGGCTTCGATCCTATCACAATATTGCTTCTATCTTTTTTTTTTATGTTACAGTTTTTTGGCAGAGAGATATGTGGCATCTTAGCTCCCCAACCAGGGATCAAACCCACACCCCCTGCATTGGAAGGTGGAGTCTTAACCCCTGGACCACCAGGAAAGTCCCTGGCTGAGGCTTTAATGTATGCATTCAAATAGTTCAAAAATAACTTAAATAGAATTTCCAATTGCAGTCTGCTCCCCTTTTCTCACTGTCACTCGGACCTACAGGTTACCCTCTTCACTTGCAGCTAGGTTGTTTCCAAGTTTTGCTGGTCCAAACAGTGTTGGAATGAGTCATTTAACAAGTAGGTGAATGTATCTGTAAGATTAATAACTGAGATTTTGGGTAATAGGAGACATGACTTCATAATTCTAATATGCCCGTGTCCTTTCCGATAGAGATTATAGCCATTTACATTCAGCCCGTTTTTCAGGATGTNTTACCAACGAGATGATGGTGACCACGAGCGGTAGGAAGGTGTTCCCGGTACTGAAGGTGCACATGTCCGGCCCAACGCCGTGTACTCCTTCCTGCTGGACTTCCAACCACTTAAAATACCTGAACCAGGAGTGTGTACCACGGAGCAAGCCTGAGCCGCAGACGCCCAGCTGCGTCTACATCTGCCCTGACTTGCCCAATTTCGGCGCACACTGGTTGAAGGCGCCTGTCCCCTTCAGCAAAATCAAGCTCTCCAACAAGCTCAATGGAGAGGGCTAGATCGTGTTAAACACTGCTTCCCAGGAGACCCAGTTCATGGCAGTGAGCACTTACCAAAATGAGGAGCTAGCAGCTCTTAAAATTTAATACAATCCCTTTGCAAAAGCTTTCCTTGATGCAAAGCGAAGAAGCGATCACAAAGATATGATGGAAAAACCAGGAGACAGCCAGTCATCTGAGTGCTGGCTGATTCCTGGAACCAGCACCCTGTGTCCACCGGCCACCCCCCAACCCTCAGTTCAGCGACCTCCTCTCACAGCCTTCCACGCATGGTTGGGAAAGGTACCTGGCTCTGAGGAACCACCATCCAGGAGACCCCTTACCCCAGCCCTTACGCAGCAGAACAATTCTTGAACCTTTTCTGACAATTCATCTGCATGTCCATGCTCCAACCCCTGACAACTGTCCAGCCTTGGAATGCCTGCCCACACCAGCATGCTCCCCATGGGTCCCAATGCTGGTCCTCCTATGGGCTCCAGCCAGTATGCCAGCCTGTGGTCTGTAAACAACGGCACGATCACCCTGGGCGCCCAGGTGGCAGGAGTGCCCGGCAGGCTGAGAGCCCAGTTCTTTCAAGGCTTCTCTGCTCACCTTGCCTCCCTCACCCATCTGGTCTCGGCACCCTCCTCCTTGGGGTCCCCGCTGTACGAAGGGGCTACCATAGCCAAAGACATTGCTGACAGCCTGTAGGATGCCCCAGCCCGCCTCCTGGCCTTGTGGATGTCCGTGTTGCCTCCGTCGATGTGAACCAGAGCCTGTATCTTAAAGGAGGCAATGACTCTGCTGTGGCAGCAAGCGTTCATTTGATTGGCAGTCTCATGGGAAGAGGGAAGGAAACGAGGCCTGTCAACCCTCCCTTTAAATAAGAGGAAGATACATGTTCTGCTATTTACCTTATTTCATCCTCGGTGGCGGCAGTGCTGTCCTGAGTCCTTTATGTGCTGCACGTAAATTCAGGTGAAAGCAATGCAGGTGGCCTCACTCACCAGGATTCACAATAGCAATGACTTGCTAGCATCCAGAAACTCTGTTTTGCTTGCAACACATAGATGACTCTGGCCTATCAGAATTTGTAAACTCCCCCAGTCATACTCCAGTGAGATTTAAAAAAAAACCACACTTTTAGTTCTCCTCCCTGTGGCTTTTGAGTAGTTTTCAGGTTCCTTTTGTGGCAGGGGTCATAGTCAGAGTTCAGCTGTGACAGAATTAAATCATAGCTGGGGACAGCAGACTGGAGTTGAAATGACAGTGTCCAGCTCTGTCCAGTGGAATGTGTTTAATTTGACCATAGGTAGCTAATCTTTTGTATTGTTAAACCTACAACTGTTCATATTTTTCTTTTGACAAACTAGCCAGACACAATCAGCAGAAAGCATCTTCTGTAAAATAAAACCAACGTTAAAAAAAAAAAAAAAGGTTAAATGGATTATCTTTTTTCTGAATTTCCATCAGTTTCTTAGGATCATCTATATTATATTATTTTTTAAATTTTATTTATTTATTTCTATTTTTGGCTGTGCTAGGTCCAGGTTCCTGTGTAGGCTTTTCTGTAGTTTCAGAGAGCAGGGGCTAGTCTCCATTGCAGTGCACGGGCTTCTCTTGTTGCAGAACACAGGCTGTAGGGTGCACAGGCTTCAGTAGTGGCAACGTGTAGGCTCAGCAATTGAGACTTCCCAGCGGCTCCGTAGTTGTGGCGCATGGGCTAAGTTGCTCCGTGGCATGTGGGAGCTTCCTGGATCAGGGATCACCCACGTCTCCTGCATTGGCAGGCAGATTCTTTACCACTGAGCCACCAGGGAAGCCCAGATCATCTACATTTTAATTTGCTTCATGACTGGACCTTGCCTTTTTTCAACTTTTAGATTGTTTTTCCTTTATCTTTTTCATGTTTAATATATACAGAAGGATATGTGACTCATAATATGAATAAATGGACCTGTCACTTAACCCCAAAACTAGAGCATTTAACCAACAACCTGCATGTATGTATTACCACTCCTCTACTGCATTTCTCTGTGTGTGTGTGTGTGTGTGTGTGTGTGTGTGTGTGTGTATTAGTCATTCAGTCAAGTCTGAGTCTTTGCAGCTCATGGATTGTAGCCTGCCAAACTCCTCTGTCCATGGAATTCTCCAGGCAAGAATACTGGAGTGGGCTGCCAATCCCTTCTCCGTGGAATCTTCCCAACCCAGGGATGGGACATGGTCCCTACGCTGAAGGCAGATTCTTTACCATCTGAACCACCAGGAAAGCCCTTCCATTCACTTCTGCCTCAACCAAAAAGAAATCACTATCCTGAAATTTGTATTTTATCGTAGTTTTGGTTTTGTTGACAG